TGAGCGGGCGGCGGCGGCGGCGGCGGTCGCGCGGCAGCTTCTCGAGATGCAGGCCGCTTACTACGACGACCCCTTAGAGCTGGAAGCCGCCCTGCTGGCGAGCCTGGAGGACGCGCGCCTGCAGGCCGGTCTCGACAGCAGCAGCGGAACCGGCAGCGGCGGCGGCGGTGGCGGGAGCCAGCCGTCGCCGCCCCTGCCGGCGGCGGCAGGGGAGTCGGTCAGCCCAGCGCCGGCGGCGGCGGGGCCGGCGGCAGGCTCGCCGTCGGGGCGGTCGGGAGGGGCGGCGGGGAGCGGGGGGAAGGAGAGGGCGAAGAAGGGGCCTGCGGTCGCCCGGGGTTCGGCTGGGAAAGAGGGGGTCACGAACGTCGGGGGCTTCTCCTTGCGGCGCGCCAGGGCGCTGTTCGGCGGCGGCGCCGTCGCCGCCGCCGGCCCCAGCAAGCCCGCCGAGCCACACGCAGCCGCTGCACCAGCAGCCGCTCCCGCCGCCGCGCCCACGCCGCCGGCCCTGGGCGCAGCGCAGAACGGCGCCTCCGTGGCGCCCCGCCAGTCCGCTCGGGGCCCGGCGGCCGCTGGTGCCATTGGCCCGGCGGCGGCGGCTGCAGCTGGGGCAGGGGCGCCCGGCCCGGCTTGGCGGGATGACTTGCCCTCGACAGAGGAAGAGGCCGAGGCTTTGCTGCAGCAGGCCCTGGCGCTATCCCTCGGAGAGCCTGCCGCCCAGCCCGCCGCCGTCGCCGCTGCCGCCGCCGCGCGGCCGGAGGGATAGGGGCGGGCCGGGACCCTGCGGCCGCCGGTGTAGGTCCGTCTGTGTTGATTTGAGCCGGCTGGCGCGCGCCCAGGCGCCCTGTGTTTCGATCAGGTCACATTGGTTCTTTTGTCCCAATTTGCGGCTGCGCTCCAGCAGTCCGTGCATAAAACCCCATTTCGAAAACCTGAAACCGAATGCTGGAGGGGGCTGTCCTCAGCACGCTCAAAGTTGGGTGCAGCCTCTTGCGTCAGTGAATTTGTTGGTGCAGGTGCACGCACCCGTGCATCGCCGACGCCGCAAGCCGCTCCCAGGCGCGTCCCACTAAAACCCAAATCACCCCCGGCTGCAACGCCCCCAGCCCTCGGCGCACAGCGCCTGTCCTCCCAGACCCTAAACCACCTGCCCGCTCACCTTGCGCGGCGCAGCTGCACCCCAAATCGCGTCCTGGGACTGCCCTGCTGCCTGGAGACACGCCGCCTGGCAGCCGCTGCCACACGCTCGTTCTCAGGGGCTTTTGTTTGCACTGGTCATTTGTGTACTTGCTTTGGCGGGGCAACCCTGCCGTTGATAGCAGCGGCCCGGACGCATTGCAGAATGGATGGGGATGCCTTAAACCAAGTGATTAGACCAAGTAGTCTGCATTCACGGCCGCCTCCGTTGTAAATGAGATGCAACTGGAGCATCGGCGGGCGCGCTTTGCACGCAGCAGGTATCATTCAGTGACCCGACGCGTTCCGCAACCACGGGTCTGCGTTGCCCGACTAAAAGGTGCAAGGTGGCGAGGTGCATGTAGCGCGCCGTCGTTCAAGACCTCGTGCGGGCGTTGCAGAGCGGCGATGGGGGTGCTGGATCGTTTGGCAGTTCTGCTCTCCCTTGCCTGAGCACACAGAAAGCCTAGATTGAAATCACTCGAATGGGGGCAATTCCGTGTGCCAGAGCCGCGTCACAGCCTAATCTGCTCTGTGTAGACAAGGCGTGAGGCGACGGCGTCGCAACAATCCTTGGACTGCTGCTGTCGCCGCCGCTGGTGGCCTTGGCTTTGGACGGCCCTTCTGGCGTTTCGAATCCCTGCGGATACTTTGATGCCCACGCCCACTGGTCGCGGCACATCTCTGCCACCCCAAGCCTTGCGCGCCAGCCGAGCCGCCGCTCGGCCCCGCCTGCAGCCGCCCAGACCGCGACGGCGTCGCCGGGGCGGCGGGCAACGATCTGGCAATCCGATCGCACAGCAGGGGATGGGTTGGGTGGTCGTCAGTTGCGAGTGGCTCGCAATGATGCGACGAGTCACGATGTGTTGCCGGCCGCCTCGGCGAATGTGCTGACATCGTGCGAGCTGACGACTTGTTAGGCAGCAAGAGCAGCAGCAGCAGCAGCAGCAGCAGCAGCAGCAGCAGCAGCAGCAGCAGCAACAGAAGCAGCAGCAGCAGCAGCAGCAGCAGCAGCAGCAGCTGCTGCACCAACAGCAGAAACAGCAGAGGCAGCAGCAGCGGCTGCGGTGACAGCGGCAGCTGCCGCCGCAGCGACCTCGGCGGCAGCGACGGCACCATCGGCGGCAAGCTATCGTGCGTTCATCGCCAAAACGTGCTCGAGCGAAGTCACCATCGCCGCACCTCGTATTCCACCTTGGTGTTGGTGACCTGCTCCCAGACTTGAATCATCTCCAGAACAGAAGTCCCCTTCCCGGTCCCTGTGGGGTTGTGGCATGCAAGGGTTGTGGGCCAGGGCAGCACTGTTCTGATTCACCTGAGCCAAACATGGGTTGTTCTGTGTCGGTCAAGGCCGCAAAAGAGCCGCACTGCATCAACCATTGTTATCATCAGCAGCACCACCACCACCACCAGCAACAGCAGCGTGAGCAGTAGGCGCACTCTCAGATAGATCAAATCTCGCGTGGCCATGCCAACGGCGGCAAAGCGGACGGTTGCAGAGCGGTGGCGCTTTGAGGGAGGTCCGAGGCACAATCGCACCCACCGAGGTTGACGGCCTGGCAGCCAAAGGCAGGCGTTGACAGGAGCGTATCTAGGGCGGCTAGGTGGCCCTCGGCAAGGTCCATCACGTGGATAAAGTCACGGACGCACGTGCCGTCTTGGCCATGAAATGGTTGCGGTTTGGTCGAGCGCATGGCGATGAAGTTTGGGGTGGTGGGTGGGGCGGCGTCAGGGGAGGGTAAGGTGGCATCAAGGCGGCTTGGCGGCTGCTGCTCTTAGAAAGGGCCAGGACAGACGCTGGGCGTCGCGTGCCGGCGTGAGGCTGCAGCGGCAGGGCAGGCTGCTTGGGGCGACAGGCGTGGCGGCCGGCCGGCGGCCTCGTTTGATGAACGGCTTGAGGGGTGTGCGAGGGCGAGCGGCGTCGTGCACCCACCCGGCGTCTGGTAGTCGCCGCCAAACACACTCAGGCGCTCACGCTGCCCCAGCGCCACCTGCGGAGGGGAGGCAATGACGGGAGCCGAAGCAGGGGCGGCGCAGCATCCAGTTCTGGCCCAAATCTCACAGCGCCGTCGCTCCTCGAGCCACCCCCTGCCAGGCGTGGCAGCAGGCGCCCCAAGCCGCAAAGAGACCCCCGAGCTCGTTTGTTCCAGCATGCAGCAGGCGTAATTGCTCACCTGCTGAATGTAAGGCATGAGGTTGTTGGGCGTCCCAACAGGGTGCTCCCCAAGCTCCCCGCTGGGGTGTGCCCCGACTGGGTTGAAGTAACGCAGCAGCAAGACGCGCATGGACGGGTCCGCCGCGCACACATCCCTGCGCGCATGCATGCATGCATCCGCGGGGCGGTGTGGGAGGGGGGGAGTGCGAGCGGAGGAGGGGAGCGAGGCGTGACGATTGGGGGTGCGTGAGGGGGGCGATGGCGGCCCCTGCTGCGCACTGAGGTGCTGATCTGGATCAGCGTGCCTGCTGCACATGCTTTTTCAACTTGCCAGTGCTTTGTTGTGCACCGCCAAACTTGCCGCGCTGCTTTGAACCAGGCTCTCAGCACGCAGGACTTCTAATGTCCATGCACTCATCTGGTATCGTGTCCAATTTCACGCGCCCGGCCGCGCGATCAAAAGTCAAGCAGGCACCCGCCTGAACATCTCCTCCTGGAACAGCTTGCTGCGGCCGTAGGGCGACTGCGCCTTAAGGGGGGCCCCCTCCGAAATCGGCACGTCCTCGGGGGCCGGCGACCCATAGACTGTGCAGCTGCTGCTGAACACGAGCTGCAGTCATTTACGATGAATGCGCCAGGAGTGAATTCGTCGAGGGATGCAGGGTTTGTGTGGATGATCGGAGGGGAAGGGGGGCGCCGTCTCGATGCATCTGTCTCGGTGCTGTTGCTGCCTTGGGGGGCACCGCTCACGCTGTATTGTGCGGTAGCGCCGCGGCGCCCGGCGCATCGCACGCGTGAGGAGCTTCCGGGCGAGCAGCTGCGCGCTCAGTCCACCCGCCAAACAATACGGCAGCTGCGCTCACGTTGCGCACGCCGTGCTTCTGCATAGCTTCCAGCAGCACTACCCCCGCCACAAAATTGTTGTCGTAATACAGGAGGGGCTGCGCCACGGACTCTCCAACCGCCTTGAAGCCCGCAAAGTGGATTACGGCATCAAATCTGCGGCGGGTGGTGTTCAGCTTGGTGGGTCCCGGCGGGCGGCAGGCTGGCACTGGGTGCATGGGGCTTGCATGGGCCTGCATGGGGGTGCACGGCGCGCGCATGCCAAGTCACCCCCGGGGCACGTGCGGCCGCAGGCGGGCAGGGCTTCCCGCTGCTGCGGCACTCAATGCCCTCACCTCTCCGCTTGGAAGATCTGATCAACCTTTGACCGGTCCCGCACGTCGGCCTGCAATGATTAAGATTGCCATCATGGCAGAGGAGGCCGCCATTCATTACCTCTGAAAGAGACGCACGAGCAGAACCAGCACCAGCAGCAGCAGCAGCAGCAGCAGCAGCAGCAGGAGGAGGAAGAGGAAGAGCGAGTGCAGCGGCAGCAGCAGTAGCAGCGCCAGCGCCAGTGGCGGGGGGAGCGGGCCGGCTGCGCTGCCGCGCATGGATGC